CAATCCGGCGGCTGTATAGACGTTTGTACCGTGCAGTTAGCATTTTTTTTAATTCTACAGGGCCTCTGCTTTCAGAACATATATCATTGTTTTGGGGTTTGAAGCTGTTTTTTAGCCAAAGATTTTTTATTTTATCATGTGTGCGCAAATAGTTAGAAAATGCTCTGGACAGCAAGTGGTTAAAGCATTCAGTGTCCCCTTCTGTTTTTTTTTTTAATAGATTTAGGCTAGGTTCACACCAGATGCAGTGCGACCCTGTCCGATTCTGGTTGATCGCATTGCGACCGGAGGGCGTGGCTACGGTACCATTCACTTCAATGGCCCGCCACGCCCCCTCCTGCCCCACAAAAAATTGAGCCGGCTGCAATGCGATGCAGCGTGTTCTGGCCAGAATCGGGCCGGAACGCACTGCATCTGGTGTGAATCTAGCCTAAAGGTGCCCATACACTGCACGATTATCGTACGATAATCGTATGCGATTGGTTTTTCGTACGATAATCGAGCAGTGTGAACGGAGACGTGCGACCGTTTCTACTGTACGGTCGCACGTCTTCTGTCGAACCAGCATGTTTGAAAACCAGCCGGGAATCGTACGATTCTCGGCTGGTTAGAACGGTGCTCGGAAGATAAATGCTGAACGGGCCGGTGTGCGCACGCGCACACTGCCCGTTCAGCATTGCGGTCATCGGAAGCCCGCCCCTCAGGGGGGTGGGCTTGCGATGATCGAGAGTGCGATCTGCCTGTCCAAGATAGGCAGATCGTACGTTTTTTTAATCCCTTTACAACCATCGCAAGACTAAAGTCTTGCGATGGTTGTAGAGTGTATGGCCACCTTTAGGGCAAGTGAATGTGTATACACTGAGTGGCCAGATTATTATGACCACCTGACGTTTGTAGGCTAATTATCTATAATTTTGTGCTGAAGTTGCTAGAGGACCAGACCATTATAAATAGGGAAGCAGGCTGTTTACGACGACAGTAGAAGTGATTTGTTTTTCTGAAGATATGGGTAAACAACGCCATTTAACAGCCTTTGAACGTGGGATGATTGTTGATTTTTTTGTCACTTTTTTTTTTTTTTTTGTTTTTTTTTTTAAATCTGGAGAAAAGGAAAATGGGAACCAGAGTAAATAACCTGTGCATACTGGCCAGTCAATTTTCCTATTTCATTTTGCCAGAGAATAGAGCAGGAACCTGTTTGGGCACTATAGGCCCATTCTCCATTTGGGTTCCCATTTTTTTTGTTTTTCTTTCTGCTTGAATCAATGGTCTTCATAGTGTATTGGGTGATCTTTTTTTACAATAAGTTTTATCCAGTGTGAACACATAATTTTAAAAAGTAAGAAGGCCTAAACAAATATGTTGATGTGCCGTTTGATGAGAACAAAATTGGCTTGGTTGTATTTCACGAATGCTCATCCTATGTTGCCATTGCCTTACTGAGTAAAAGTAATTGTCTCCTGTAGAGCCATGTGTTGTACAGAATGCGGATCAGGAGAATGTAGAATAATTCTGTAGAAAACAGACCAAGCCATGTAATGGCCATGTAATAAAATATATTTAGGGTCCTCAAATGGCTCTTTTACAGAGAGGTTTATATTGTTTCACATGAAGAAGCAAATTCAATTACATTTCTCATTATGTGATGTCTCATAAAGAGCATATTTTATTAATGGCTGGGTTTTTTTTTACTGCAGTGTTTTTTTTAATTTTGCAAAATGTACTCTGTTCACATAGTAATGAAAGAATAGTGTACCTAGAACAACTAAGTTAGGCTTGAACACCTACAATGAGAGTGAGCATATGATGAAAAAATACATAGAAGGGCTTTGCTTAAGTACAAACATTGTGGCAACTCAATCGGTAGACTTTTTTATATATATGTACTGAAAATGACATTTGCAGCTTTCTATGTTAATGTATTAAATTCATGAGCTGCAATAAACACTAACTTATGGAAAGAAATCCAGAAATCTTGTGTTTTATATCTGTAAAGCGGAGTTTCACCTATCTGCTGTGCCTCCTTAGAAAAGAAGCTACACACATGAATTAAAGAACCATTAGAACTACTTAGGGGAAGAGGAGGCAGGTGGGAACATACAGAAAGTGGTGAGGGTTGAACTCTGTACTGTATATAAGTTCATATGACCAAATCTCTGGGTCTGCTGATTGTTTCAGCTTGCAATTTTCACTCCTAGGTCTCCCGTAAGCAGTATGCCATATGGTGCAATTTCCCAGGTTGTGACAGGTTTAAGTCCTTCGGGTGATCTTATCCTGTGCTCATCATTTACTTCTGCCAGGCAAATTCCTTAGTGAAGTCAACAGGGAGAATACTAAATTCTGGCATCGGCTATATCAATGTCCTTTTTGCGCCAAACAGTGCAGGTGTTTCTACTTTTTGATTGTACGTTTCAGCTGTTGTGCAGCGGATGATGGGAATTTAATAGAAAGGGGGGCTACAGTTATTAGCATATAGTGGTGCATATATCTTGCAGCTTTTGATTTAGTGTTTTAGCAAATTGATTTTTCTTAAGTTCACCTTTTTTTTTGACACGTGCACTTGTTACTGCTGCAGGCAGTTACTCTGGTAAATTCCAGTCTATTCATTCTGACTTCTGTATATAGACAAGTCCTCACAAATGAACTGCCTGACTGAAGATCTGGATAGCTTGTTCTAAGAACATACGGTACTTCGCTACCACAATTATGTCGAGAAAGAAAGAGGTTTTCCGCTTTGTATTTCGGCAGGTGATTCAGCAGACTCGCACACCTTGATTTGTGTGTATTGCATTATGACTATTAGTGAGGTGGTAGTTTGATCATATTCAATATTAACTTGCAAGTGAGGCCACACAAATACCATACATGCAGTCGAATTGCTGTGACATGAAGGATTCCAGTGCAGCAGTATTATCATATGAGATGATAAAATAATCATAAAGGGTGTCCCATGAGCATTGCAATCAGTGTTTCCAGTGTGTGTATATATAGTAGAGCTGCAGCAAACGATTATTTTCAAAATCGGTTAGTTAGCCAATTATTAAGCTCGATAAATCGGTTAACCCCTTCGTGACTGACGACGTACAGTGTACGTCGCCAGCATCGGGGCTGTTTAAACAGACTCCCGGTGACTTTTGCCGACGGGACTCTGTTTAAACTTGTAGAGCCGACTGTCGGCTTTACAACAGAAGCGATCCTGGCGACTTACCTGTCGCCAGATCGCTTCTGCGTCCCGAAGAAGGGGCCGAAGAGCACCATGTTTGGGAAAGTGCAGGCTTACCTGAGCAGTCTTCCAGCAACTTGCTTCTGGGGTCGGGTCTGTCGGCGGCTGTCATCCCCCCGCACCTGCTCCTCCTTCTCTCCGCGTCCCTGTGCCAATTGTGGATGCGGGCGGTGAGCGTGAGGCGGGGAGGAGGTGCGGGTATGGCAGCGGAGAGCATGAGGTGGGGAGGAGGTGTGCCACGCAGCGTGTGTGGAGCCGTGAACAGGGCCAACTAATCAGAAGCCGATTAATCGATGATTGAAAAAGTTGACAACTTTTTCAATAATCGATTATAGTCGATTAGTTGTTGCAGCCCTAATATATAGGACCAACATATTGTCCGACACTTTACAAAGCACATAGACCAATTCATATCGGGCCCTCTTCCCTAAAAAAAAAAAAAGAGCTACCTCATGCCTACTTACCGAGTAATTCTTACAGTATATCTTTGGAATGTGGATGGAAATGACAGCTCCTGTAAAAAAAACAGTGAAATAACTACAAGAACATCTAAACGTCATGCAGATACTGCTTGTGGTGAGATTTGGACCCAAAGTTGCAAAGAAAGTGTTAATCATTTAACCCATTAACAATATCTTCCTGAGAGGCCAGGGTTTGAGCTGACCAGACATGGATCACATTTTAGGCGTTTCCTGCTGAATCTGTCAATTTGATCTGTGGGTGGTCCTGGACTATTTTTCAATCAACTTGTCGAAGGTGCCATGTCAAGTGTGTCAGCCAAACACTGACAGCAGCCAGTCAGATACAATCATTGTTTGGGTATTCAGAAAGCTGCGGGCACCAACTGTGGGACTGCAATAGCTGATGGAGGATTCCTACATCTATGCTGTTTAGCGTGGATGGGGAAATTAAAATATATTTTCTCTCCCCCGTGGGTCTGAATGAGAAAAATCCTAATGTGTATTGCCAGCTTAAGGCAAAAGTGCACATTAGAGTATCAAGAGTAAAGTGGCCCTTTCTTTTTTACATGTAAATTGGAAAACGTCCTGCTGAGTCTCAAAAGATTGGCCATATACAAAGAGGACTAGCCACTTCTAAGATATTAAAGTAAACCTGTCAAAAAAAGCCTTTCTGACTTTATGAAAATGCTTGCTGCCCAGCTACCATTCTGATGATTTTGGTTTTCTTCTGTCACTTACCCCAGAGAAACTAAGCAGATAAGGACTTGGGACTTTACCGGACTTTTGCCCATCTGCTTACTGAATGACTTTGAAGTCATTGGGCAGCAAAAGAACTGTCTGGTATTTTCAGAAGGCAGCAATCTATGGCAGCAGCTACTGTATATTTTGGGTACTGATGTTAGAAAAGTTCCCCATGGCTCTGCTCAAAGTTTATATCCACTGTACAGATAACATTGGGTGCCGGTTCCCTCACGGAAATTAGAATCTTGAAATATATCCATTGTTGGAGTCCAAGACACTGGAACACCCATGTAGGCTCCTTTTGATGCATTTCACACATAATGAGAGTATGATCTCCATTTCTTACTATGTGGGTTTCATTTAAGATGCTGAAGTACCATAAAACTACAGGATTAAACACCTATCTAGAGATAGTATAGTTTTTAATGTTTAAAGTGCTCCTTCCAAGCCAGATCTTAGCCAGATTTTTTGTTGCCTCTGGCACTTTTATCTTGACAAGGCATAAGCCATGGACTAAAACCTAAACCGGTTTACTAGAAATAGATGTCCTAAAATCCTTCATTTCTCTTGTTCAGTATCTGCGTCCAGTACCTGTGAGAAGTTAGAGAAGGATAAGAACGACCTGCTGATCGCTTATGAAGGCATCCTACAGAAGGTAAAGGATGAGCACATCTCTGAGCTGTCTGACCTGGAGGAGAAGCTCAAGCAGTTCTACACAGGAGAGTGTGAAAAACTACAGACCATCTTCATTGATGAGGCCGAGAAGTACAAGAATGAGCTTCAAGAGAAGGTAAACCGTGCCTTTACTCTAAAATATGCGTACTTATTTTTTTTTTGGGGGGGGAGGGTGGGCATAAATATTTATGATTTTAAATTTTCTTTTTAATTTGCCCTACAATATCTGTTTCCTATGAATGGTATAGTTATAGTGGACACCATTGTGTTTTGTCTTTGGAATATCTTTTCTTCAATGTTAAACATTGTACTCCATTAGACAGCTGGTGTTCTTTCTGCAAGTGTATGGACCTGTCATACTGGTGTCTGACAAAGGTCTGAAAGTGAGATAGGTAGCCACTGACCTGAAATCAGTACTTCTGCCTCCTGGATGCACTCCACCAGTTAAAATGGCATATTTCTACTACATAACTATGCCAGCTTGTTTTTTGCTTTCTGTCAGGGGTTGTACATGTCAGCAGTGACTGACAAGCTGTGCTTCAGGATGCTATAAAAATTGCAATTGATATATATATATATATAACTATTATTTTTTTCCATACAGTCTTTTTTTAAATGCAACCAGTAATAGTACTTAAACTGTTATGCTATCAGCCCCCTGTAATCCTCTATGCACGAGTAGCCATTTATACTGTGCTGGCAGAAGGAGAGACTTCTTCAGAATGCTGCTTTTGCTTTTTTGGTAGGGCTGGTAATGATTAAAAATTTCCTGTTTGAAATTAATCGATTAAAAAAAATGTCGATTAATCGATTAATTATAACGCACATACACATCCAACTACATTGGCCTATACACATACAGCACAGCAATAAAGTAATAAAATTAACTAGGATCACACTAATCCAGCACGTTATTAATCTCACGTGCCCCACTCAATATGGACGCCACTTGAGTGGGGCAACTCAGAATAATAACGTGCTGGATTAGTGTGATCCTAGTTTATTTTATTACTTCATTGCTGTGCTGTATGTGTATAGGTCAATCCCCGGTATCCCAACCTGAAATAAGCAATTTCAGGGAGGTGTCCCTCTCATTTCAGGGAGGTGCCCTCACCCCCATCCGCGGAGGGAGGGTTAGGGGGAGCTGGGAGAGAGCACCCCCCTGAAATGATGGCAGATAGCACAGGAAGCAATAGCTTCTTTGCTATCTGCAGACAGTTTTTTTGCAGTTGTCAGAATAAAAAAAAAAAAAGAGGCATATGAATGCATAGCTAGATTGCTATTGGCTATTTCACTTTGCAATAGCCTATAGCAAACCTAGCTATACGGAGCCAAAGAACTTCGATCGATCAAAATTTTGATCGATCAAAAAAATTAATCGAGGGATTAATCGTTAATTTCCGCAGCCCTACTTTTTTGCTCTTTTTAGCTGACATGGGTTATGTCCAGGCCCTGCTGTAGTGCGCCTGTCGTGGAGATCGCAGACCTGATTGTGCTGATTGGCAGGGGTTGTTGGTTACTGAAAATGACAGTGTCTTTGACATGTAAAACCTAAATACATGTATGTTTATACTGTACACCATTTAACGTGCATGCAAAGAGAGAGGGTTTTTTGTTTGTTTTTTTTTAAGTTCCCCAACAGAGTGGGGAACGGAACCTGCTATCAACTATAGTTTTTGCTTTGTCACCTGCTGGCAAGATACACTTTTACTTTCCATTTGTTGAAATGATCTTTGTCACCAAGTTAAAGAGAGAGGGGAAACCCTCAAACTTTAGTTGTCACCAAATTAAGGAATGAGGGTTAATCACCCAATGGGAACAAATGTTCTAATGGTGAATTCCACTCCCCTTTGTAAGATCTCCTCTAATATTCCTGTTTTGTCTCCAAGACAGGATCTAATGTGCTACATCTAAATCATTTTGCATTACTGATTACAGGTTGATGATCTGAATTCCACTCATGAATCCTACAGGCTAGCAGCAGAATCCAGTCATGCTGAGGATCTAGAACACATAAAGAGCGAATATGAGAAATCCTTGACAGGTACGATATTTTGCCTCATGCTGATGGAAAATCACACCTTGTCAGTTAATATATATTTTTCAGTCAACATTTAAAGCTTGGTAGAACAGAAGCCATGGGCTCTTGCATGATTTTGCTGTTACCTAAGCGTGTGATATGCCATAATTGTTATTTTGCTCAGTGATAGATTCAGCTGGTAAATGCAATAGACTTTCAACCACCAAATGTCATTGATGGTGTAATAGCTAAGAATCAGCCCACTACATTAAGGCCTTGTTTACACCAAGCGCGTTCCAGGAGCAGAGCAGTTACAGATCGGATCAAAACGGCGTCCAATGTAGTCCAATGGTATTTTGGGCTCTAGTTCACACCGCAGCGTTCAGTTCCACAGCATGTAAAAAAACTGCAGCAAGCCCTATTTTACGGCCCGGAACGCATGAAAGACGCGGCACAACCCACTGCACTGCGTGTGCAGAAACTCATGCAGATCTGGTCTGCATTTGGTGTGAATAAGCCCTTAGGTCTTCAGTGAATCTTAACTCTTCTTCATTCGAAAGAATTAGTGTTTATAGTTGTTTACAATCTTGCATTTGAGACGTTCTCAATTTTGCTGTCTTTGTAATTAATCATTTTCTTTAGAACTTAAAGGCAGCCAAAAGCGTGAGAATAAAGCATTAGAAGACTCCTTTAAAGAAAAACAGGCTGAACTAGAGGTCAGTTGATTACCTCTGATCTAGTTTTTTGCCCTTTAAGTTGATGTATTATCTATAGTTAAATTTCCCTTCCTACTTTTTCCAGAAAAAAATTGAAGAACTGAAACAGGAGAATGAATCTCTGAAGGAGAAACTAAAAGTTGAGGAAGAACAAAGAAAGCAATCCAAAGAAAAAGCAACCCAGGTCAGTTTATATCTCTATGGTTATGCCCTCCTTCCCTTTGCATGGTTATCATTCAAGATGACCCTTCTTCCCCACCCCCCAAACCAACAACACAGGTGGACTTGAATGTAGCATGCTGCTGCATGGTTTGGTTGACCTGCGGTATGCTGCTGTACTGGGAGCTGCCAATATGATTTTGTTATAAACTACCTGAACTGTGCAGCTGGAAAATACACAATTTACTTGTCCTCCATTGAAGGGGCGTTCCATCTTGGCTTTGTTATCTTTAAGCTACATCTTTAAACCTAGGCTACATCTTATTGTACAACCTGGCAATAAGGTAAGTGAAGCTGTTTTAGGAACGAAGAGGGGACTGTTTGTTAGACTTCCCTTCTTTACCATAACTAGTGTTTTTATTAGACGACCCTCTTTAGAAATAATTTTCTGTCCTATTCCATTGCTAGTCTAAAGATCAGGTGACTAGATATTAGAGAATGTGTATATGTTTGTTGGCTCTTCCATGACCTTGTGGGACATTCCCTGGCCAAGCCTGCTCAGGGATAAGTTGATCAGCTGACTTATTGCTTGTGTTTACCTTAGGGCTGCAACAACTAATTGATTAAATCAATGAGAATCATTGTCCACAATTCTCATTATCGATTAGTTGGTTTGATCCGCAGCGTTGATTAGTTGAATCCGCAGCGTCTGCTCTGTTCCCCGTTCTCCTCCTTGCTGGTGACGGCTGCAGTAGTCTGTGTTCTTTTCAATCCCCGCTGCTTTTCCCGCCTGTATCGACACAGGCAACGGGGACACAGACCACTGCAGCTGGCACCAGCGGGAAGGAGAGACCGCTGTACCTCTGCATTGCTCTGCTGCTCCCCTGTGCCCCCTCTTCTGCCAGCGGTAGAAAGCCAGCGTCAAGTCTCATCAGCACCTGGAAACAATAGTCAGCCTGCTATTAGCTATTTTAAACTGCAATAGCAGGAGGACCTGAAAGAAAACTTTCTCCTTCAGTTCCCTCCTCTGCTGATTGATGGCAGGCAGTGGGCGGGTGCAATAGCCAGCCTGCTATTGGCTATTGCATTTTAAAATAGCCAATAGCAGGCTGGCTATTGCTCCCAGCCACTGCCTACTGTGTTGACATTCACCTGCCTCAGCACGCAGCTGTCATTCCCCAGTGAAGTGGAAAGGTGACACTAGGTGTCTAAAAGACTCCTAATGTCACCTTAAAGAGAACCCGTCGCCTCCAATGTGCTATCACTTAGGGGGCTTGAGCCCTCCAGTGTGATGGTAATGAGGTAAAAAAAATAGTTTACATTTTTTGTGGGTATTTTTAATTTTATTTAAGTCCCCCAACCCCTCGAACACGTGCATACTAACGGCAACACAAGTTGGGTGCACCCATCTAGAAAAACGATGATTGCGCTATACATGTCGGGTATCGTTGCGTACGCAGGAGCGAAAGCTATGAATCTCGGGCCAATATTCATGGCTAACTCTAAACTGATGACCGGGCTTTTATAATAAATATATAGTGGCAAGCGTCATTTTTGGTTTCGGCCTGAAAATTCTGCTCTGGGATGTGCGTTGTGGTGCCATTAATTTCAATGGCATCCCAAACACCCCTCCCGCAGTGGCATCACCTGCACTGGAAAGCGCGGTAATGCAATGCATTCCAGTGCAGTCAGAGTGCAAAAAATAGGCATACCGTTTTATTCTGAAGTAAACTTTGTAACACTCCATTAGTGTATTTCATTTTAAATAAAATGTTTTTTTTTTTTATCAGATTAATCGAAAAAATAATCGGCCAACTAATCAATTAGGAAAATAATCGTTAGTTGCAGCCGTAGTTTACCTGCCTGCATCACTTCCCCTTTCATAGGTACCATCATGCAGACTCGCCCAAAGTGAATTTGCATGTTTGTTGAAAGATCAATGGTGGAGCTATGCATGCTTGGCCATCCACCCTCTGTAGCCAGTTTTTTTTAATGGTATTACATTACATATTTTTATTCTTTAAATGTTTCTTTTTAAATGTAATGGACATGGATTTTCTACCACTATTTTTCAGCTTATGTATTTTGCATTATGTAGCTTTTGTCAACTTCCTGCCTTACTGATTGAAATAGAATATATACAGACTACAGTGCATATGAATTTCTGGAAGGTGCCTAGTGTGTTTAATTATTCCATTGCTGCATCTGCATAGGCTCTCATTTCTCTAAAGCTGCTGGAGAGATGCAGTAACGCACTTCCCCAGAGTAACCAGTTTCTTTCTTCTCTGCAGAAAAACCCTCAAGTGATGTATCTGGAGCAGGAGTTGGAGAGTCTAAAAGCAGTTTTAGAAATTAAAAATGAGAAAGTGCATCAACAAGACAAAAAACTGATGCAGGTTGAGAAACTGGTAAGTGTTTTCTCAATTTCCTATTGGGTAGGGACCATTTACATCTCTGCACTTCTCTGCTGAATAACGTGCCATTTTTACTGCAGGCAACACAGACACCTGTTTTTGAAAATTTTTCATTTTTGTTCCTGTTTGCTGTTCAGATCACTGCGCTGCACTGTTATGCAGTGGGAAAATATTCCTGCACCATTACTGCTGCTCCACACATTAAGGAAGCCCATTAAAGGAGAACTATGGGGTCAGTGTTTTTCCCCATAGTTCTCCTTGGGGTAACGGGAGGACACAAACTAGCGTCCTCCCGTCACCCTAAGCTCAGTACTGAGACGCCGCACCTGGAGCGGATCCCGACTTAGATGACGGGATCCGCCCAGCTGCGTGAGTGACAGCTGGCTCTGCCTATCTAGAGGCAGAGCCAGCTGTACCCGCCCCCTCCCCCGTCCGTTCCGCCAGTCAGCGCTGGCAGATCGGAGCGGGGAGAGGGGAATCCAGCCCCTCCCCCTGTCACGGCAGAGAGCCGTGACAGGATCGAGAGGTGAGGGAACCCGGTATGTTTTCCCTCACCTCCCGATCTACTGAGCCGACCTGTGACAGTCTCATTGTCACAGGTCGGCTTAGAACTATGACGTGAGTGGAAATCACTCATGTCATAGTTCTCCTTTAATGATATGTATACATCATGCATTTGTACTGCATGGTGAAGGTAGTTGTCATGCTTGTCCCAGAGTTGTTGGAATCTAAACAGGAATCTTTTCTTGAAGCGGACCTTTACACTCAAAAAGCAAATTCTACCAATGCATCCCACTATGTATGATGAGTAATAATAACAGAAATGTCGGTTGTAAAATGCAGTGATTGTGAAATACTTACACTTGCAGATAACTTCCTGCTTTAAAAGGGCAACATGACTTCAGTTTGCCAAAGCAATGCACACTGGGATTCCCTTGTTATCAGCAGAGCATTTCTGGGAAATCTCATCTGTAATCTCATGAAATCTCAGGGAAAGGCATTTTCCTTCCTCTGATATGTACATGGTCACATCTCCTAGCCGGAAATCCACGAAGTAATAGGAGAGCTAGTAATCTGCCCTTAGTTAACATGGCCATTGTCACAAGACTGTGAAAGAAAAGAGAAACAAGGTATGCAAAGAATACAAAGCCGGCAATTATCTAGAAGTATGTGTTTTGTAGATTGTCATCTCCTAAAGGTGTGTTTGTTATTTTAAAGATATGGGTAAAGGTCTGCTTTGATATGACCAGATCAGAGGCTTTGCATTCCAAGCTTCTATAAACAGCAATCATCTTCTATTCTAGTCCTCTAGTCCAAATGTACTATTCCACCCTCCCCCCCCAACCATTTCTCCTGCTGCCATCTTTTGCCACTTGAACAACTAGGGAAAGGAGCTGTCGCTTCTAATGTGTTACCTGCCCTAAAAACCTTCCCTGGACCTGTCAATCCTGCACCTAAAGGGTGACAGCTCAGATATGAATATTACCTTCCTGCAGTTCATTTCCTCTGAAATCTCAGAATGAAATGTTTGCCTCTTTTGCGTTTAGTGTTCCTATACTTTGTACAGTACTAAATATTTTCTGCCGTCTGAGAATTTATAAAATGTTTTGGACATGATTCTTCAAGAACTTTGAAAGTAAACAAGAATATTCTCCTTCACTGCCTGCCAGCATTAGACGCATGTTCATCAGTGGCACCTGCTTGTCTCGCATACCATTGCTGGTGTTTATATCAGTGATCTCATAGTGTTGGTATTCCTATTTGATGATGTCATGTACATTCTAGGGCTGCGGAAATTAACGATTAATCCCTCGATTAAGCGGAGATCCGGTGACGTCACGGACATCGACGTCACCGGACTCCTCCCCCTTCCCCAAGTGGCTGTCGGCTAATGAAGGGAGAGGAGTCCGGTGACGTCGATGCCCGTGAGGTCACTGGACTCCTCCCCCTTCCCTTCGTTAGGGGGGAGAATTTAGTTAGTCTCTTCAGACTGTATCTCAGATGCCATGTGTACGTAGGAATTTATTTGCTTTTTGTTTCCATACAAGTAAATAAAAATTCAAAAGCAGTTTGAAGCAACTGAAAGCCATCTCAGATGCTAACCATTTGTGCCTGTAAACTTGAGCTGAAGGTTTTGTAATGACCAGTGCAGTTTTTGCGGCAGGAAAGATCTAGTGTAAGGGAGTCACCCGTTGTTAATTAGAGTGGACGTGCCAGGCTGAGACTATGACAGTTTATCACTGGCATGGTTTCAACAAAGTGAGCTGCTGGGCTCTCTGGTGTGTGGTGCCCTTTGATACTGCTGAAATCCTCCAGGTTAATGATACGGCTGCTGCATTCTGTAACGCTGTTCTGTCTCTTCTGCACCAGACAGCTTTGGCTTTACAAACCTAAACGAATGTATGACGAAAACATTTTTATTATCACTTAGTTGGCCCAGTGTACATTTTAATAGCCAGTAGGTCAATATTGCTGATTTTCTTTTAATTTTTCACATTTTACTACAAATCCATCCGTGGTAGAAAGCAAGTGAAAAATGTCTTCAAACATTCCTGACCTCCAACCTATGCCAAATGGTTAACCTGACCGTAAAGTTTATTTCCACTTTTGCAGTTAAAGTGACACTAAACCCAGGAGTCAAATCTTAAAAATACATCCATGTACTATTAACAATATTGTATCTTATTTGTGTATCACATTAATCGAGGTGACAACTGCCACTTGTAAACACCAGATTAGGGATTCCTATACACATACAGTACAGCAATAAAGTAATAAAATGAACTAGGATCACAATAATCCAGCACGTTATTATTCTGAGTTGCCCCACTCAAGCGGCGGCCATATTGAATGGGGCACGTGAGATTAATAACGTGCTGGATTAGTGTGATCCTAGTTCATTTTATCACTTCATTGCTGTGCTGTATGTGTATAGGCCAATGTAGTTGGATCTGTATGTGCGTTATTAATCGAAATTAATTGATTAATCGATTTAAAAAATTTTGATTAATCGAACAGGAAATTTTTAATCATTACCAGCCCTAGTACATTCTACACATTTATTATTATTATACAGGATTTATATAGCTCCAACAGTTTGCACAGCGCTTCACAATATAGGGAAGACATTACAATCACAATACAAATCAAGACAAGATGGCAAGGAGGGCCCTGCCCCTGAGGGCTTACACATGGCTTGCTAAATGTAAATGGGACTGCCCGACACAGCACAGTCTTCTTTATCTTTGTTAAAGTTCTTCTGGTGCAGTGAAAGGTTTGACTACTCTGTATGACTGTCTGTAAAAGTGCTTCTATAGTAAATATGCACATTCTGTTCAAAACACAGCATTTCTGCAATTCACAATACTACTAAAACACACGCCCCGCTTCTCCAGCATACAGCAGGGAGTGTCAGCCTTCAGGATTTCACTCCATTTCTTTCTTTGGCCTAGCCATGACATTTACTTGTTTGTTGTATTCCTTGTTCACTTGTGTTTATCCACCCTTCATTCTGGGAACAGTGACTGAATATTTATTTTATGTAATTAGACTCTCACGTGCCAATCCCATGACTTTTATTAAACCCAAGATCCTGCTTCATGGTTGACCTGGCAGGTCCCACATTGTTACAGTAACTTAAGTTTTTTGCTTTTTCTTTTTTGTTTAGGTGGAGACTAACACAACTCTGGTAGAACGGCTGAACAAATGTCAGCAGGAGAATGAGGATCTCAAAGCTCGTATGGTGAATCACATAGCAATGTCAAGGTAAAAGATGTACTGCAGATCATAATAGCTGACTGATCCCAGTTCATTTTACATTATGTAGTCAGTGGATTGTTGGCATATATAGAGAGAAATACAAGATTTCAGTCTAAGTAAAGTGTGATTACAGGGGATGGGATGCTGTTTACACACACCTATACTTTTCTTGACATCTTTTGGTGTGTTTAGTATGTTGCGGTCACGGACGTCTGTAATAAATCTTAGAAGTCTATCATTATTTTTGGCAAGGACTTGCAAACTGGGAAAAGCAGTGTTATGAGAACTTCATGTAGACCTTCACTGCAACTCATCCTAGAATTGGGTGATTGTATCGCCTTTTTTATTTTTTCGGCGCTTGTGGAGATCTCCATTTCTTTTTCTATCATGATGTGCCTATGGGAACTTTTGGTTTCTTTTACCTTACAACGTAAATGCAGAGGAGACCTATTGCAGACTTTCACAGAGCGTATATTTTCAAATAGGGTTACTTTTTTTTTAAAGTTTTTTTTGCACATTTTGGAAATACACTTTTGCATGTAAATGCAGTTATTGCCTTTTATGTAAAGCTTTAGCAAACAGGTAGAAGCTGCAGACTGTACAGATTGCGTAAAGGGCATCTCTAGGGAAAGAAATATTGGAGCTGTCTTTGCTAAGCCCTTAGGCTGTCCTCCTCACCCTAGAATTGTTTCTTAGTGACCTGGGATGATTATGTGCATCTTACTTGTCCCTGTACTTCACTTGCTGCATACTTCTGCTTCAGTGGCTTTGCCAAATAGTGATAGCTCTCCAGAGTGGCAGTGTGTGTATTTCTTTTCTGACTGGTTTCTATAAAGACAGTATAAAAGATTGTCATCAAGTCTGCATCTTCTCCTTTTTTATTAATCCACTATATTAACATACAATGTTTGCCATTATAGGCAGCTGTCTACGGAGCAGGAAGTTCTTCAGCGATCTCTAGAGAAAGAGTCCAAAGCGAATAAGCGTCTCTCGATGGAGAATGAAGAACTCCTATGGAAGTTGCACAATGGTGACCTATGCAGCCCTAAAAAATTGTCTCCCTCCTCCCCCGGAATCCCATTTCACCCATCACGGAACTCGGGCAACTTTTCCAGCCCAACAGTGTCACCCAGATGACACCTCTACAATGGTGGAGACTTCACCGAAACATTTCAGGACATAGCGGTGAGATTGCTTTGTATATGTACAGTGGAAAATAAAAGCTATATTAGCTATCTAACCATTACACATGACTGGAATCTTGGGAGAAGGCTTCTACAACCTACTGGAAATGAATGGGCAATTTGTTCTTGTTGCTCTTTCTTCTAAAGACAAGACTTTGGACTGGGAAATGGAATACCTATATGGACATTGTTGCACAAAGCACTTACCTAGCAAGATACAGCTGTTCTTGTTTTTTGCCTTTTTTCACCTACAGCAAGTCAATAGGGAAAAAAGCTCAGGGCTTGTAGATAAAATATCACAAACTTTCTATAGTTTCTTTATCACCTGTAATTCTTTTTCTCCCTTTGGATGGGGTGGTTGTAAAGTGAATGAGATGGATGTAACACACCTGAATTGTGTGCCTCATGCTGCCTGTGTGGATTTTGTTTTTTCTTTTCTGTCTTTTGTACAGGACTATATCCATGAAACATGTCTATTTCAAAGAAGCCGTTTTACTGCTTTAGAAACTCGGCACAATACATTTTGCCTTTTCCTGTTCCTGAACCTCTTATGGAAACATCAGAACACTGATATCCAGCAAGGTTTTAGGCCTTCATGTTGTGCCCCCGTGACTGTCTTGGTCTCTAAAATGTAGAAATGGTGAAATTGAGTGTGTAAAATAAGCACTCTGCTCTACTACTGTGCTGAAAATCTGCTACATAACCTTATGTTACTTTTCGGGTCTATGCAAAAGACATCACATTGGTGTATTTGTAATGTTGTCTATATCAAGCTTGTGTCTTTTGCAGCAGTTAGTCAACAGTTCATTTATCAGGATAGAACGGACGTCTTGAAAGGTACATGCATCAAAAGACCATATATAAGGGGAACTGCCACTAACAGGCTGATTTAATAAATGCAGTGATGTGCAATAGCTCCCAGCAACCAATTGGAGTCCGTTTACTGGAGTTTGCCAGTAAAAGAGGAATTCTGGTTGTTGTGGTTCACTGGTTACTTTGCACATAGCTTAATTAAATAAGTCTGTATATGCCTTACATTAAGGTCAGCTGTATTGGAGACTGGAGTATCAAACAAGAGGAAGGCTTGCATAATATATAATGTAGCTCATCTCTTCTATTCAGCAAACAGAAGACCTGCAGAAACTGTCAGATGTCGCATAACGGTTTTACTTCCTGTTGACCTGACTATTGGAGTTTGGTTTGGTTTAAATTGTTTGCAGAGTTTCCAAAACATTTTCCAAAGAATTTTTATTACCCAGCAAAAATCAATTTTCTGTTGTTAATTCTTTTGTTTTGTGTTCACTTCATAGACATTGAAGTCCTGCTCATACTGCCACTGGGCTTTCTGAGTAAGACAGTTCAGGACTGTCGCCAACATGTATTGGTTTGTACCCCTGTTCGGTCTTTCTGATCATCGGACTTTGATGTGGTCACTGATAGGACAAATATGGGCACAGGATAAAGTTTGTGTATTTTTTTTTATCTGTTTTCATCTGCATCATGCAAATGTGTGTAGCTTCTAGCAAACTTGGATGTAAAAAGAAATAAATAAAAGCTGTAGTTGCTTGGTTTGTAATGATGGAAATATATTCTGACATGTAATAAGAGAATAAATTTATTGGTGCAGTAATTTACTTCATACATTTCTGGTGAGTCATTGTTCTTGTGCATCATTATCCTCTGCACGGAATGATGTACAACTAACCAGTTTTCAGTCCATTAAAAGGAACCAGTCAGGAGAAAAAAAGGGACCTCTGCCATAGGTTAAATCTTTTTAAAGGATTTTGCTCCAGAGCTGACATATTGGTGAATTACCGACCTGAAACAAGCATGTAGGTTTGTGTCGGGACACCCAATATGCACCTTTTTATTCTGGATCAACAGCTTACTAGCGAGTGAAGAAATGGTGGGGGGACAACCAGGGCCGGATTTACTGTCCCTGCCGCCCCAAGGCCAGGTTCCGCATTGCACCCCCCTCCGCGCCAACCTCCCCCCCATCAACGGAGGATGGCAGGGCTATTTTTTTTTTTTCTTTATCTTTTACTTTATCACTTTTTTTATTTATTTACATTTTTAGCTTATAGTTTACTTTTTTTTATTTTTTATTATTTTTTATCTTATTGTTTGTTTATTTTTTATAATTTATAAACTTTATGTTCCGGGCGTCGGGGGATTCCACACCGCTGCCACCTCTCTGCGCCCTGCCGCCCCGAGGCCTGGTCTCGGTGGCCTTGTGGGGAATCCGGGCCTGGGGACAACCTCTAAAGACATGTCAGCAACAACAGCTCCTCTTTTTTCTGACAGGTTTTCGTTCAGTGTCATCTTGTTTCCACCTTTGCAGTCAAATTTGAGAAGCCCCCATGATAGATTTGTTCCCATTTGCACAGAATACCCTAAAATAATTTAATTTTTTCTAGTTGAATCTTAGGGACAGGTTAATACATAGGAATCTATAGATCTATAGGCAGCTTTTATTGCTTAGAATAGATGGCAATGTGGAGATAAAGGACAGACTGAGGGACAGTTTTTTTATAGGAGAACTCGGGTCAACATTTTCTTAAAGTGATATTAAAGTCAAAAGGATTTTAAGCCATTCCAAATGCTGATGAAACCCGTTACAATGGATGCTGCTCGATGTTTAAGGGCTTGTTCACACCAAATGCAGACCAGATATGCATGAGTTTCTACACATGCAGTCCAGTGTGTTTTGATGTGTTCTGTGCAGTAAAAAAAAAGGGTGGGGTTCCAGGGCGTTTGTGCACTCCAGAGCAGAAAAAATAGGGCATGCTGCAGTTTTTCCACATACTCTGGAACTGAATGCTCTGGTGTGAACCAGAGCCCAAAATACGATTGGAATACATTGAACAAAGTTTTGATCTGGTCTGTAACTGCTCTGCATATGCTCCGCACTTGGTGTGAACAAGCCCTAAAAGTTTGTTTCCTGTAGAATCGACAGGTCCCCTGAGATCTGGTTCTGACTTCCTGTTTTATAGCGACTCCTTTCTCAAGCAGACTGCTACAGAGTCGCCCTTGTGTGTGTGTGCTAGAAAGCTGTGTGTGTCTCCACAAACGGACACAGCAAATCAACCTACTTCCCTCCCCCCTGACCCCCTCCAAGCTAGTAGATGAACGGTTGCTGGAGTCTGCTCTCTCCTTTATGATCTTGTACTAGACGGGAAGTTAAGTTAAGCAAAACTGAGACTTGAAAGCAGCTGTTCAGAAACATAATGATTGTAACTGTTTGGGCAAAAATGTAAAGCAATGCTTTGCTGGGCAATGTATACGTGTTTGATCTAGATCTATTATTGAAAAATAGTTTGAGAGTTTAATACTACTTTAAAGGAGAACTATGGGGTCAGGGCTTTTCCACATAGTTCTCCTAAGGGTAACGGGAGGACACAAACTAGCGTCCCCCCATCACCCAAAGCTCAGTATACCGCGAGCTACAGCTTGCGGTATACTGAGACGCCGGAACAGATCCCGATAATTCTGTCTGGATCCACCCAGCTGCGTGAGAGGCAGAGCCAGCTGTACCTGCCCCCTCCCCGTCCGTTCCGCCACTCGGAGCTGGAGGATCGGACAGGGGAGGGGGAATCCCTGCAGGGAGCCGTGAGTGACGGTCACGGCTCTCTGCACGGCTAGATCGAGAAGTGAGTGAGCGACAGTATGTGTTCGCTCACTTCCCGATCTACTGAGCCGATCTGTGACAGTTTCATTGTCACAGGTCGGCTCCGATTATGAGTGAGTGAAAATCACTCGCCTCATAATTCTCCTTTAACCCTTGCAATAGGGCTACCCCTGTACTGCACAGGCTTAGGTGTTTGTTTTTTTATACTCACCTGATCCTTCAAATCCGTTGACTCTTAGACTGGTCTCTGAAGCCTCTCTCCCCCTCAGCTGCATTGGTCTAAGGATCCTTGAGACATCACGTTCTATACACAGTGTGTTGGTCAGTATAACTTCATCATTTTTGAACCTAGGCAAAAACAAGCACTTAACCTTTACAATGCAAGGATTAAGAACATCTTTACCGTGACTTTGTTCTTTAAAGAGTATGAACATACAATCCTTACTAGTATCGGTACATCCCTAATTGTATCTGTATCGGTGCTGATACCGAGTATTTGGGCGAGTACTCATACTCACCCAAATGCTCTGATACCTTTCCCGATACCAGAACCTCCGGTCAGAGGAAGATTTCCTTTGACCGGCAGTGCCGTAGGGGAACATGGAGCCAGCTTCCCGGGCAATCAGGAAGCCGGGCGGTGAGTAATGACCCGCCTCCTGATTGGACGGGAAGCCAACTTTCCAGCCAATCAGCGTGGAGCTGGCTTCCTGGCCAATCAGGAAGCCGTGTAGCTGGACATTACTTGCCGCCAGTCTTCCTGACAATCGAGCCAGCCAAACAACATGGAACCGCCTTCACAGGCATTACTCACTTCCTGAAAGCACTGGTATCGGTACTCGTACCCTATACCGAAAAAACGGTTTTGGTGCATCCCTAATTACAATGTACCACCCAAACCGGAGCCCTTTAACCCTTTGTTAGGGCAGTGTCCACATTTTGTTTACAACTGATAATGAAATCTGGCAGCACCACTGGCTTCCCAGCCACCTCATAAACATTACATTGAAAGGGGAAGCTAAGATTTTTCTGCAAGTTAAAAGGTAGACAATGAGATCTGGAGAATGTAGAGTAGCCTGAATGTTGCCAATAAGATGTTCTCAGCACTGTCCTGCAGTGTCTTCTCACAGAATTTGGAGTGCAATTTCCTGAGGTTTTTGCGGCTTTTCAGTAAGAGGAAGTGTGGCTACTTAAAAGGTAGTCTGCTTTACTCTGGAAAAGCTTTGTCAAAAATGTTTTGGAATGGGTTATCTGCTAGCAGAACTGAAGGGTTCTAGTGAACAGTGCTCAAGAGCAGTGCTTAGCACGGTAGAACTTTTTTCCTTTATTCCTTTCTGGCAGCAATAGCAGGTAGGCAAATCCATTGGGAGATCTCTTAAATTTGGCATTAGGATTCTGACCTCATCATTGATTTAAAAGTTGGTGCTACTATACAACTATTAACGCAACATACAATTGGAAGATGGTCACTGTTGCCACCCGTGGTACATTACCTCCACAAGATGCCTAAACTGTTAAAGCGATATGGCATTTTTCCCGATCAACTATCGCACAATGCGACTTGTGTAAAGACTCTTCTCAGGTACTGGGAATTGAATGAATTGGTGGAGAAGTCTCTCTGTTGAGTGTGCGATATGAACTATTAAGGGACCAATTTAAAATGGAGAGCAGATTCTCTGCTGGACACTGCAATGTTTACTTCACACTGTACCTGCATATCATACTCATTCATAGAATACAGGCCACTGTCTGCAGCCTACAGTGCCTTATGTAGTGTTCTCTACTTCTTCTCCTCTACTCCTTGAGCTGGAGAGAGTCCAGAGGAGGACAACTAAATGTATTAAGGGGCTGAAGGACTAAAGCTATAAGAAAAGGTTGCTAAATTTAAACTTGTTCACACTGGAAGTGAGGCGATTAAGATGGGACATGATTTTGATGTACAAAATGTTAAGTGGTGATGGCCACATCAGCAATAAATGTTTTACAGTAAACTCCATAACAAAGACTAGAGGCCACCGCCTAAAATTGGTTGAGAAAGGATTTAACCACAAAAGGGGCTTCTTTTGAGTTAGAGCGGGTTCATTTTGGAACTCTGCCACAAGCAGTGGTAGCAACAGAGTCTATTGACTCATTCAAAAAGCATCACTGACTCCAAAGAAGCATGCGTATTTAAGGTGCTGGACAGCTGATATGCACGTGCTTGTTCCAGGTTTAGTTGTAAAACCAACTCTGCAATAGCAGTACTTATATTTCTGTTTTCAGAACAAACGGATTTGTAGGCATGAGCCGACTGTATCCGAAATACCTTAGCTGCAGCCCTCGGGTGAAGTGAGTAGGGATGTTCAGGTACCAGTGCAGATACTTGGCATTTTCCTGAGAACTCCCAGGGTTGCAGCTGCAACTGGGCCCAGACACTCCTCCACTGTATATATATTTTTATATTACCAAAAGTATTGGGACACCCCTCCAAATCATTGGATTCAGGTGTTCTGTGAAATTTCCTTGCTAATAAATATTCTGCAGGCAACTCTTAGTTGTATTATAACAAAGTGGAAGCAACTGGGAACAACAGCAACTCAGCCACGAAGTGGTAGGCAACATAAAATGACAGAGCGGGGTCAGCGCATGCTGAAGCGGTGAAGTAGCCAACTGTCTGCAGAGTCAATGGCTACAGACCTCCAAACTTCGTGTGGCCTTCAGATTGTCACAACAACAGTGCGTAGAGAGCTTCATGGAATGGGTTTCCATGGCTGAGCAGCTGCATCCAAGCCTTTACATCACCAAGTGCAATGCAAAGCATCGGATGCAGTGCTGTAAAGCACGCTGCCACAGGACTCTAGAGAAGTGGAGACGTGTTCTCTGGAGTGACAAATCACGCTTCTCTGTCTGGCAAACTGATGGACGTGTCTGGGTTTGGCGGTTGCCAGGAGAACGGTACTTGCCTGATTGCATTGTGCCAAGTGTAAAGTTGGTGGAGGGGGGATTATGGTGTGAGATGTCCTTTCTGGG